ACCCCTCCAGCGACAGCCGCCATCAGTGACTCTGAGCCAGCTGGAGGGTCTCTGTTCTCCCTGAGCTCCCCAAATCGCTCTGGGTGCTGCATGGAAAGCCACCGCCTGGGCCAGGCCACACATCTGCGACAGGGCTGCTGCACCCGCTCTCCCTCTTCCTGGACAGTGCCCAGGTTTCTGCAGGACACACTCATGGCCCCTCCAGCACTGTTGTAAAGATTCTGGGCATCAATTGGTCCTCAGTGGGCTGACAAAGTCCCTTGCAGTTAAAAACCAAATCCTCACCACTAGTGTGCCAGCCACTTTGCGGCAGGCCTTCCATGTACTGGGACATCGTGTCTTTGGAGACAGCTATAACCCACTTGTCCATTCTGCTGAGGCCCACCAATATCATCACTCAGAAGCCCTTCATATCCATTGGGGCCACAGCAGGATACAGTCTGTAGCTGGCCCAGCAGCTGATCTCTCCAGGCCATGCCTGGGTCCCAGGTTCTGAGTTTCACGGGGAGGCCCTCACTACCGCCCATCACAATTCTCATAGCCTCTGGACAAAGCACACTAGTCCTGGCTATGGGCTTCTGCACGTGTAGTCTTCCAGGGAAGGTAACTCCTTATGCCCTGGGTGGAGCAGGTGTTCTCTTTTCGTGGCATTTCTTCACTTTCTCCTTTAGAAACACACGTATCATTGATTCAGATGGAGGCTCCCCCCTCAGGGCATCACAACACTGGGGTGGGTTAAGGGAGTCTCATTTAGTTCATCATCTCCAAGCCACAAGCCTCCTCAAGCAGCACAGTGGTCTCCAAAAGTCATGGTTATTAATGTCTCTGGATGTGCTACGGACACCCAAGGCACCAAGGTCCTTCCAAGGGCCATCACTGTTTTAATTCTCAACTCCATGGCCACCATCGCCTCATCACAGGTGGGCTAGACCCACTGTGCTGCCCACCATGGTGATCACAGAAGACTTAGCTTCTTTTTCCCTTAGAGATAACATCATTTACATGTTCTCCAATAATGAGACCTCCCCACACCATCACAGGACATCCACCATCTCAACATCAAACATTTACTGAACAATGAATGGTGGATGGATAGTAAACTATGATCTTCTGGGGACTGACGCCCCAGGCCCACTGGCACCCAGCAGGGCCACGAGGCTTTTGCTAAACCACACCTCTCCATTTGATAGGCAACTTCTGGCACAAGCTCCCGTTTTTACCGGGTTTAAAGGTTAGCTAATATTTCCCACTTATTCCTCCTGGCAGGAAGTAGGGATTATTGCTCCAGAACCCACCAAGGGTGCAGTCAGAGGCAGTAAATGAGGAGAAGAAGCCTTCAAATTAGAGACAACAAGTATATCAGGCAAAGACCATATGGAAGTGCCATCACCAAACGTGGCCATGGGGGAGAAAGGCTCCAAGGAAAAGTGGGTGTGAGCTGACCCCATAATCTGTGTCAATATGGAAGCACTGGGAAGAAGCCCTGAGTGACAAGATGTCAGTGTTCTCCATGATTGGCCTTGTGTGGTATCTCATGTACATGTGGCTTGTAGGGTAGCTATTAAACCCAGGCCTTGCAGCCTAGAGAGCTGCTGGGAACAGGACAGCCCTAGTCAGAATTTGTACCCCAGGCTGGAAAACTGGGGAATTCCAGTTTGGATGGTCTCGATCTCTTGACCTCATGATCCACCCGCCTCACCTTCCCAAAGTGTTGGGATTACAGGTGTGAGCCACTGCGCCCGGCCAGCATCATTCTCAATGTAACCAAGAACTATGGCATTTTATTCATAATAAAGACGTGCCTAAGTTATGTGAATTACATGAGCTCCTCCAACCCCAAGTCAAAATCTTAGAATCCATGCTAGGCTTTACTCACATCTCTTCGTTCTGCTGCTGATGGTCACATAATGAAGTGACAAAGTAAACTGTTATTTACACGGTATAGAATATTAGCAGTCACACCTGCCACAGACAGCTCACCACCATTATACATTATACATCTCTAATGAGTCCTGCCCTTGGGTGTTAGATCTAAACAAGACCAAGACAGGAACCAGCTCAGCCCTCTGCCTAGGCAGCCATGAGCAGGTGGTGAGCGTGTGAACACTGGACTCGAATTGGAAAGACCTCAGAGGCCATTTAAAATGACACACTGCATGGCTGACACGTGTGTGACAACAACAGAGCTAAGAACTTCAACGCCCTTACCCTTTTTATTCCTCAGACAATCCTGTGAGGTAGGTGCTATTGTTATATAATAACGGTTACCCTTATTCCTCTTTACAAAATGTGGAAACAGAGGCACAGAGAAGTTATGCCACTGGCTCAGTATCTCAGAGTCAGCACACGGGCGACATAGGATGCCCCCACAGCTGTGCTCTTGCAATTGGTGTCCAGCAGCCTCTGAACAAGTGAGGAAGGTTCATCCAATAGTGCAAAACTGGGCTGTAGGTGCCCACAAGGAGGAGCCAGAGGTGCTCATGGTCATGAAGGCCCCTATCTCTCTCCATCTCCCATCTGCTTGCCTGTTACCAGCAATAAATATGGGCATGTCTAAGCATCATTTGTCCCCTGGAATATCCTGGAATACAAAACCTCTAGTATACAACCAGATTCTGTTGCTATCTTATTTTCTTCCAGGCCAATTCACTTGCACCCTACTTTCTTAACACAGTTAATTCCTATGTTAAATAATTAACTCATCCATCAGGGGAATACATGCCTTCTAAGAGTGAATGTCCATATTATGGGTGAAAATCCTCTTTTTGTTCTGGCCCTGAGTAACTTGGACAAGTAGACCTTTCTACCCTGAGGTCCAGCTCCTCAGGGTAGAAAGTGTAGCATCGACATCTCTATGAAAATGACCAGGACAATAGAAACAAAAAGGTAAGAAAAACAAGTAAAGAAAAAAATAAGGCAAAGAAAAGGGGGGACTATATGGCCCAAATACATTGAGTTTACTGTGAAAATTCATTTTTGGAGATAGAGAGAAAATAAAGCACAAGGTAAAGAGACTGAATTGTTCATTTCCAGGTTTTCAAATGGAATCTTGCCCTGATCTGGGTCTCAATTAACAAAGCACAAGGACAGCTGAGCCTGTAGCGGGTGTCGCCGAGGATACAGGTCCCAGAGTGATGCCCAGTGGCAACAGGTGGGTCTGCAACTGCAGGTGCCCCTCACCTGGTGACCTTGAGGAACATGCAGCAGCGTATTGGGCACAGTGCTGGGTTTCAGGGTACAGGAAATAAAATCAGAGCAACCCAGAGGAGGACTGTGTCTGCTCACGGAAAACATATCTCGTAGATTCTATTAGAGCAGAATAAAGAGATCATAACTGGCCACCTGTCGGCTATTTAAGATCTGGTTCTTCCTTTCATGCTCTCTGTCATTTCTATCACACAGTCCCCTCCCCCTGCACACAGGCACTCAGACTCAGAGACATGCACATGCACACCTACAACACATACATCCCCAGTTTCCACCTCCCAACACACTCCCCTCACCACACGTGCATACATACATGTAAACATACAAGAATACGCACAGGTGCACACACACCCTGAAGTGCAGACTCCAAACTCTAATAGATCTGGTTTAGCCTCTGAGGCCGAAGCTGCTCAGACTGACATGCACAGGCCGTAAAACCAAATTTTTGCACCCAAAACCTCTTGGAGAGAGTCTATGGCCCACAATTTAGAGTTGAAAGATAGAGGCCATGAGAGGTGAAGTCATTCACTAATGATCCCACAGTTACTTGATGACACCACTGAGACCACAGCTCCCAACAGAGAGCACATTGGCCTGCTGTCTTATGTGAAGCCCATAATGCAGTGTTCATTCCTGCAAAGGGGACACCTACATCTGGGTCCTCTTTCCCAGGTTGCTCCAAGGCTAGGACCTGGTGCACTTTCTCCAAGAGGCTCCAGAGAAGTACAAGAGTCCTCAGGGCTGTGAGCCTCCTATAGGTCAATATCTCTCAAGGGACCGAAGGATTTTGAGGACCAATGGCAGTGAAAAGACCCCAGCTCTGTGCGATCTGGAGGAAGCAGCATCCCAGGGCAATGAGCTACCCCAAACCCGTGTGGCTGTGGGATAGCGGCATCCTTTGGGTTGATAGTTCAGACCTTTGACAGTTCTCCAATCCAGCGGCTGCACTGAAACACATGCTCTTCATGTTCATGAAGGCCCCTATCACTCTTCCTGTCTCCCATCTGCTTCACTGTTACCAGTAATAAACACACTTCGAAGCATTATTTGTTCCCTAGAATATCCTAGAATACAAAACCTCTATTATAAAACCAGATTCTGTTGTTATCTTAAGTATTTTCTTTCAGGCCAATTTCCTTGCCCTCTACTTTTTAGCACAGTTAAATTAATTTTTATGTTAAATAATTAAATCATCGATCGGGGGCACATGCCTTCTAAGAGTGAATGTCCATATTATGGATGCAAATCCTGTTTTTATCCCAGCCCTGAGTATAGGAGAGGGAAGATTAGACCCAGAATAAAGGACAAGAAAAACTCTTTTTCAGGTTTTATTTTAAATGACAGCAGGTTTGAAGTCAAGAGGACAATAGATAATGGGCACCTTGCTACAGTTAAAGAAATGAGGGAACGGGAAAGGCATTTTATCAAAATAATTATTTACAAACACATTAGGAAACTAAAAATATTTTCCATAATGTCAGTGGAGTTTTCTCATCTTCCTTTCTTTCTTACTTGCTCTTTCTTTCTTTCTTTCTTTCTTTCTTTCTTTCATTTCTTTCTTTCTCTCTCTCTCTTCCTTCCTTCCTTCCTTCTTTCTCACCCACCCTCCCTCCTTCCTTCCTTCCTTCTTTCCTTCCTTCCTTCCTTCCTTCCTTCCTTTCTTTTTGACAGAGTCTTGCTCTGTTGCCCAGGCTGGAGTGCTGTGGTGCAATCTCAGCTCACTGCAACCTCTGCCTTCCAGGTTCAAGTGATTCTCGTGTCTCAGCCTCCAGAGTAGCTGGGACTATAGGCACCCGCTGCCACATCCAGCTAATTTTGGTATTTTTAGTAGAGACGGAGTTTTATCATGTTGGCAAGGCTGTTCTCAACCTCCTAACTTCAAATCATCTGCCCACCTTGGCCTCTCAAAGTGTTGGGATTACAGGCTTGAGTCACTGCACCCCGCCCAGGGGAGTTCTCTAGAAATACTTCTGCCAGAAATAATAAGAAACTTGATTGGCAACAGAGTTGTGTCCAAGGCTGAGCAATGGGCTGCCGACGGGGGCCTGGTCCTGGGAAGATGGGCCACTGGGCATCTTCTGGCTTGGCCAGTGCTCAGCTCGGCTGTCTGAGCATACCACAGGGCCTGGACAGTGGTTTTTAAACCACTCATTTCTCTTTCCAGAATTTCTGCTCACCCAATTAATTTCGGGGTCAGAGAAGGATGAAGAGAGACTGAAGATATCAATTTCTACAATTTATAAGGACTCTGGGTGATCAAACACATGACAGAATTCATGGAGAAAGGTTAGAACCAGAATTAAAATGTTCCAAATTGTTTCTTCAGTCATTTCTAGAGATTCAGAGAGACAATGCCAGAGAGATGTAGGCTAGGAAGCAATCATGGAATGCTATCTGCAAACTCAGAAATGTCCAGTGAGAAACAGAGCAGCAGTACAAATACAGATGGTTTAAAACCTGGTGCGAAATGGCCACCAGGGTAAAACAAGGGCCATGAAAGCTGGAATCACCGATACAGGAAATAGTCCCTCCCAGTCTCCCTGTTAATTCACGAATTCAAATTGATATTATAGATATTACAGATCTGATTCAGATCCTCTCATTTTCATAAGGTAGAATAGGTGGGAGATACACTCTATTAGTTTCTCTGCAAAGAAAGAAAAAATGGATTAACTCTCTACTCCACTGGGACCCAGGTCTGACCCAAGAGAGTCATCCAGAGAGTACCAGGGACCATCTTTGGAAAACAAGAGGCATTTGATCCCCACATTTATTGAATGAAAGCACTGTTGCTTTTCTTGTCAGAATATATAAAAGTAAACACTCAAGCAGAAGGGAAACAGGATAGTAATGTCCTTATCATCATTAACAGCTTGGATCAAGAAGAGGCACTAAACACACAGACTCACTCTGTGATGAAAGCCGGGAGAAAGAGGAGCATCAAAGGGATCTTGAGGATGAAGGCAGCCCCTTCCCCTCCCAATCACATGCCCACCTCGTCTCACTGCAGCTTCTGTCTCAGGCCTTCTCGCAGCAGAGCTATAAATCCAGGCTCACTCCTCCCTCTCCACACATCCACACCTGCTCTCCCTCCTCCAGGTGACCCCAGCCATGAGGACCCTCACCATCCTTGCTGCCATTCTCCTGTTCTCCCTGCAGGCCCAGGCTGAGTCACTCCAGGAAAGAGCTGATGAGGCTGCAACCCAGGAGCAGCCTGGGGAAGACGACCAGGACTTTGCTGTCTCCTTTGAAGAAAATGGACTCTCTACTCTTAGAGCCTCAGGTAGGAGACATCAGTCTTGCAGATCTGCAAAATCTAGAACAACAGGATTGGAGACAGGCTCTGGTATCAAGTGTGGAAAAGTCTACCTCACTTGAGTGACTTTACTTGATCTTCCTGGACCTTGATTTTCTCATCTCTGAATTAATCAGTGAGAACCGAACACATCTAAAAGATTTTCTTTCTTCTAAGACTTTTAGTTTCAAGATATTTCTGTGAAATTTGTTACTTTTAAGATAGAAAGAGCTACACTGACTAGTTATTTGCAGGGCTGAATGGGTAGACTTGGTTATGGAGAGAATATTTTACTTTGTCCATTGGTAAAGCTTTTAGAACCTAGAGAGGAACCCATGGGTGTGTTTCAATGTAGGCTAATGGGCTTCATTAAATCTTTCTACAATACATACTTAGATCTAAACATCATATTGTGTCTTATACATATACCCAATTATTATTTGTCAATTAAAATAAGTACATAAGTAAAATGTTTAAAAAAAAAAGGCGGGGGGTGGAGAGGGAATGAAGAATTTGATTTTGGAAGGTCTTCAAAGACTCCTTGAGCATGAAAATACTTGAGTCCATGACATGAGCATGCACAATGCAGCATCTCAGAAACAGATGCAGGTGCATTAGGGAGCCTTGTTAGGACATGGAGATCATACATGGAGGTCAAGATTAGGGGTATGGATTAAGCAGAATGAAGAGTAGGTAACCCGGGGGTTGAGAGGTATATTGTTTTACCAGGAAGCAGGTAATAAACATGTCCTGAATAGACTCAGATGGGGAAAGAACTATGATCTTGCATGACTAACACATAGCTAGTACGATTTCTTGTCATTTATGACAAAGACATGAATTTTCTCCATCCTAACATGACTGATACATTGTCTCTTGTTTAGACTATCTCAGTTAGTCTGGCTCTGCATGTCCTTTTCCCCACCTCCCTCGCTGTGCCTGATTCTCTCTTCTTTCCACAGGTTCTCAGGCGAGAATCATCTGCCTTTGCCGAATCAGCCGTTGTTCCTGGCCTGAGGCCCACTTCGGAAGGTGCACTAAAAAGGGCCGAATCGCCAAACTCTGCTGTCGCCGAGCTCCCTAGATAAAACCAAAACAGTGCAAGATTGAATCCAAGGTCCTGAAAAAGAAAAAACATTTCACCCTGTGTACCTTGTGTCTTTCTAAATTTTTCTCTCCAAAATAAAGTTCAAGCATTAAACTTAGTGTGTTTGACCTTTTAAATTTTCTTTTCTTTTTCCTTTTTTTCCCTTTTGCTTTTTTATATGGTGGATTGTACGGTTCCTTTGTATAGACAATTCTGATCCACATTAAGTTAACTGGTCTTTGCATTCCAATAATGCACTATTCGAGCATCATAGAGCAATAACGAAATAGCAAAAATGAATACAATTGGGTTTGTTGCTGTTGTTCTTGTTTGAGACAGTGTCTCACTTAGCCACCTGAGCTGGAATAGAATGGTGCAATCTCTGCTCACTGCAGCCTTAACCTCCTGTGCTCGAATGATCCTCACACCTCAGCCTCTTGAGTAGCTGGGACTACAGGCATGTGCCACCACACCCTGCTAATGTTGTGTACTTTTTGGAGAGACAGGGTTTCACCATGTTGCCCAGATTGGTCTGGAACTCCTGAGCTTAAGTGATCTGCCCTCCTCAGCCTCCCATAATGCTAGGATTTCATGCTTGAGCCACCATGCCTGACAGGATATAAATGTTAATTGGAATAGTTTGAAACTTAAAGGTTCAGTGCATTCCTAATGATACTCAAACAATAGAAGTTTACAATGAGAGGCAAAAAGTGGTTGTTGGCTCAAAGGAAAGATAGAGCTGATGTGCTCTGTTCACTTGTCCTTTAATTTTAAAAAGTGGGAAAGCATTGCTATACATAATTTTTGAAATTCTAAGCAGATGTGTTAAATACATATGCTATACATTAAGCTTTATTTCACTCTATTTTGGTAAGTGATATATAACTGTATCAACAAGACAGAATAAAATAAATTTTAACAAGGAAAAAGTTAAAACTGTGCCAAAAACAGGAAAGACTGATGAGCATCAGTGATTCAATTAATAACCAGATAGAAGAAGAGCTCAGAAGCTGGTGACCATAGAGGATGAGGCCCAATAACCAACGAGACAAATGGTCCTTTACTGGTCCCCAAAAGCTTAATTAGACCAATGTTTAATGAAGAAGTTGGTCTCAATTCTCCATCCCTTCAATCATATGAATTCTACTCATTATAATAAAGCTATACTCATTTTAATAAAATGCTAGTGAGAAAATATATGTTAATATGTTTTTAATTATGCCAATGAACCAAGTCAATAATCATAATGATAAGACAATTGGCCATACAGTTGTGCAAAAACTTAAGAACAACATATTTGTGAGAAAGACAAGTTTCTAGAATTAAAATTTATATAAAAGACAGGGACTGAACAGTGCCATGATATGACAAAACAAAAAACCAAACAAACATTTTTATTACAACAACAACAAAAAGTCACAACCTGATAATAAATAAAAAGTAGCCTGACTTTGATTCATCTTAGACACATACAAAGCACTGTTTCCTGATCAAGGATCAGCTCTTTGACCCTAGACTTGCAACCTCATTTAGTAATCTGGGGTCTCAGAAGATCAGGAAAATCATAGGAAGGAATAATATCAAAACAAATAAGAAAAGATATCAAATCCATGATATGGGCCCTTCTATATCACTTTTGGTATAATGAATGAATAAGTTTGGGATTGAAAGAAATCAGGCACTTTCCTCAGCCCCGGGCTCAACACAAAGCACACTCCTCAGCCCCGGGCTCAACACAAAGCACATTCCTCAGCCCCGGGCTCAACACAAAGCACATTCCTCAGCCCGGGGCTTAACACAAACAGGCCCAGTACAAACACATCCCACCATATATCTCTCAATTTCCTGAGCCCAGTACAAACACATCCCATCATATATCTCTCAATTTCCTGAGCCCAGTACAAACACCACCTGGAAAAGTCCCCGATAAGGACACAGCCGTTTGTGGGTTTACTGAAACGTGGGAACCAATAGAAAACTGCTAAATGTATAACTTAAAATGTAAACCAATTGTAATGCTGTAACCAAAAGAATTCCCATGTTCCTCTGTAACTTTATGTATCTTATTTACATCGGGCTATAAAAAGCAAGCACTCGCATTGTTTGGGGCACTCTTGTATGCTGTAGAATGGAGGGACCAAGTTCGAACTTGCAGTAAAAGATCCTTGCTGCTTGGCTTTGACTCTGGACTCTGGTGGTATTCTTTGGGGAACAAATGGTCTGGGTATAACAGGATCATCATTCAGGAATATGTTTATCTATTCTTGAAGGTGTTAGATGTGTCTAAAAACAACCAGGCATACTAAATGTATTACATCAATGTAGATGAAGGAAATTGAAATAATTACCTTTGTATCAGTATTTAATACTCAAGACCTGGTATAAATTTAGTGTAAATAGTGATGAGATTTTTCCTGTGCACAAAAGCCCTTTCAATATTAAAGAACTTACCAAGCTAGTCCAGGCTAGTGCTGCCTTCCCTCATCTGATGGTCCTTAGTGAGAACTCTCCACTATACTGGGAGATAGGTGGTCAGCGCTGGTTCTCTGCCTCAGCAACCCTTCTGAGCAGGATTCTCTTCCACTCTTGCTGTCACACCTGGTCCTGGAACTGGAGGGCCAGCAAGAGAGCAAGATAGAGGAGGGCAAGTATTCTCATGCACTACCCAAGCGGCGAGGCTTTCTGGCAGCAGGAACCAGAACGGGTAGTGGAGAGACCTCAGATGCTGAACACAAGTACATCTTTTGAGAAGATAAAGTCACTCTACAAAGTCTATAAACTTAGGCCTGGTTGGCCTGTGAAACTAGGCCTCATAAAACTTAGAAACTAGGCCTCATAAAAAAGAACTCAAAAAAAAATTAACACCAGGTGGCTCTGGATAGGGTCCCACCCTGCCTCGATAAGGACCCACCCTGATAAGGTCCCACCCTGCCAATTCCAGGAAACAACCTCATGGGGTCCCACCCTGCCAATTCCGGGGGTCCCACCCTGCCTCGAAGTTCCCGGAATCAACAACTCCAGGAAAAAAACCTCATAAGGTCCTGCTCTAACCAATTAGAACAAGACACCTTGCTCAGGCCATAGCTAGACCCAATTACCACGCGCCTTAAGCTTTGTTTGAATTTCGCGCCATAAGCTGTGTTTCAACTTGTGTTTGCCTGTATAAACAGCCTGTAACAAGCAGTCGGGGTCCCAGGGCCAACTTAGAGCTTGGGACCCTAGCGCACTAGTAATAAATAACTCTCTGCTGTGAATCTCGTGTCGGTGATCCTTCGCGGCGATCCCTGCCCAGGAGGGAATCGACAGTTCGGTTCCAACATTTGGTGCATTGGCCGGGAAGTGGGGTCGTCCGAGGACCCCCGACCCATCCGGCAGAGACCCATCTGACCCGGGCCACGGACTGCTGACTGAACGGACCCACCAGGTACTTTCGTTTTGTTCTGTCTTGCCGGCTAACTCTGAACTCTGGGGAGTACTCCTTCTGAATTAAGTGGGGAAGGGCGACAGACATGTCCGGCACCTTCCCACTTACTCCCCGGGGGACGCCCTGGCGGTAGTTTGGGAGAAGGCTGACGACTCAGTCAGCCTCCTTAAATCTGTAGGCAGGTCGCCCCTGCCGTCTGAATATTTTGTGATCTTGTGGCGCCACTCTCTGGCCGCGCGGCTTCTCCTTACTTGTCTGGTCTTTATTTTTGTTACTTTCGTTTTGTCCTTGTTATACGTGGATGAAATAGGACAGATGTTGACGACTCCTTTGTCTCTAACCCTGACTCACTTCCCTGACATCTGGGCTCGAGCCCACCACCTCTCTGTAGAAGTCCGTAAAGGACGATGGAAAACATTCTGCTCGTCCGAATGGCCAACCCTCCATGGGGAGTGGCCCCAGGACGGAACATTTAACCTCTCAATTATCTTGCAGGTTAAAGCAAAAGTGATGGATCCTGGGCCACTCAGACACCCGGACCAGGTGGCCTACATAATCATTTGGGAGGATCTGGTCCGAAATCCTCCCTCTTGGGTGAAACCCTTCCTCCATTCCCCTTCCCCATCCCAATCTACCCTCCTTGCCTTAGAAGCCCCAAAGAATCAGAATCTGGACCCGCCTAAGCCAGTCCTCCCAGAGGAACCCCAGAGGGATCTCCTCCTTCTTGACCCCCTGCCTCCTCCACCTCAAAACCCCCTTCTGGGACCTCCACCTTATGCTTCACCCTTGCCCCCTGTCTTGTCCCCAGCTCTTTCCTCTACTGCCTCGGCCCCTACCCTTTCTCCAACTTCTCCCTCGGCCCCTCCCTCCACCCCGTCTCCTTCTCCAGCCCCGCCCAAGGTCAGCCCTCGGATGCTGCCGCAGACACCTCCTCGTCTCCGCTTGCAGCGGACTGAGGACCCAGATGGCCCTTCCACTTGGCAATCCTCCCTTTTTCCCCTCCATACTGTCAATCACACGGTCCAGTACTGGCCCTTCTCTGCCTCTGACCTCTACAACTGGAAAACCCATAACCCTTCCTTTTCCCAAGACCCCCAGGCCCTAACCTCGTTGATAGAATCCATTCTCCTCACTCACCAGCCCACTTGGGATGATTGCCAGCAACTCTGGCAGGTCCTCCTAACCACTGAAGAAAGGCAGCGAGTCCTCCTGGAGGCCCGGAAAAATGTGCCAGGACCAGGAGGCCTCCCAACCCAACTTCCCAATGAAATAGACGAGGGATTTCCCCTCACCCGCCCGGACTGGGACTATGAAACGGCACCAGGTAGGGAGAGTCTCCGAATCTATCACCAGGCTCTGTTGGCGGGTCTCAAAGGGGCAGGAAAATGCCCCACAAATTTGGCCAAGGTAAGGACCATAACTCAGGAAAGGGATGAAAGCCCGGCAGCCTTCATGGAAAGGCTTCTGGAAGGGTTCCATTCGACCCAGAGGCCCTAGAACATAAGGCTACCGTAGCTATGGCATTCATAGACCAAGCTGCATTAGATATCAAAGGAAAACTCCAAAGACTAGATGGAATCCAAACCTATGGATTACAGGAATTGGTTAGGGAGGCAGAAAAAGTGTATAATAAGAGAGAAACCCCTGAGGAAAGGGAAGCCAGGTTAGCGAAGGAACAGATAGAACAAGAGGATCGTAAGGACCGAGTGAGGGATAAGCATTTAACAAAAATCCTGGCGGCAGTTGTGAGAGAGAAAGGACCAGGGAGAGAGGGAGAGAAGCGGAGGCGGCCAAAAGTGGAAAAAGACCAGTGTGCCTACTGCAAAGAACGGGGACATTGGATCAAAGATTGCCCCAAGCGTCCTAAAGACCAAAAGAAACCTGACGCTGTCCTCACCCTAGGTGAAGATAGCGAATAGGGGTGTCAAGGCTCTGGAGCCCCCCCTGAGCCCCAGCTAACTCTCTCTGTAGGGGGGCACCCCACCACCTTCTTGGTGGACACAGGGGCCCAAAATTCAGTTTTGACAAAGGCAGACGGGCCCCTGTCTTCCCGTACATCCTAGGTCCAGGGGGCAACAGGGGGAAAATTGCACAAGTGGACTAACCACCGGACAGTTAATCTTGGACAAGGAATGGTGACACATTCCTTCTTGGTAGTACCTGAATGCCCTTACCCCCTCCTAGGGCGAGATCTTCTGACCAAGCTCGGAGCCCAAATCCACTTCTCCAAGACTGGGGCCCAAGTATTAGATCGGGACGGTCAGCCCATCCAAATTTTAACTGTGTCTCTGCAAGATGAGCATCGGCTTTTCGACGCTCCGGTCATCACTAGCCTCCCCAATGTTTGGTTGCAAGACTTTCCCCAAGCTTGGGTGGAAACGGGAGGACTCGGGCTGGCCAAGTATCAAGCCCCAATCATAATTGATTTAAAGTCCATGGCAGTGCCCGTGTCTATCAAGCAATATCCCATGAGCCGAGAGGCTCATATAGGAATTCAGCAGCACATTAACAAATTTCTAGAACTCGGAGTGTTGCGACCTTGTCGCTCGCCCTGGAACACTCCTCTTCTGCCAGTAAAAAAGCCCGGTACTCAGGATTACAGGCCTGTCCAAGACTTGAGAGAAATTAACAAAAGAACCATGGACATCCATCCCACGGTCCCCAATCCTTACAACTTACTCAGCACCTTAAAACCAGGCTATAACTGGTATACAGTATTAAATTAAAAGATGCTTTCTTCTGTCTACCTCTGGCCCCCCAAAGCCAAGAACTCCTTGCCTTTGAGTGGAAGGATCCTGAGAAAGGAATTTCAGGCCAATTGACCTGGACCCGGCTTCCCCAAGGATTCAAGAACTCTCCCACTCTCTTCGATGAGGCTCTTCATCGAGACCTGACCGACTTCCGGACCCAAAATCCAGAAGTGACTCTACTCCAGTATGTAGATGACCTCCTTTTGGCTGCTCCTACAAAGGAAATCTGTATACAAGGTACCAGACATCTACTCCAGGTACTAGGTGAAAAAGGATACCGGGCATCCGCCAAAAAGGCACAGCTCTGTCAGACCAAAGTAACATATCTAAGATATATCCTGAGTGAAAGGAAAAGGTGGCTCACCCCTGGGCGCATAGAGACAGTGGCTCGCCTTCCACCACCACGAAATCCCAGGGAGGTACGTGAATTCTTAGGAACTGCTAGGTTCTGTCGCTTGTGGATACCTGGTTTTGCTGAACTGGCCGCCCCCCTTTATGCACTCACCAAGGAGAGCACCCCTTTCACCTGGCAGACAGAGCATCAATTGGCTTTTGAGGCACTAAAACAAGCACTCTTGTCTGCCCCGGCCCTTAGGTTACCGGACACCTCAAAGCCCTTTACCCTCTTCCTGGACGAGAGGCAAGGGATTGCCAAAAAGGTCTTGACCCAAAAATTAAGGCCTTGGAAAAGACCAGTAGCATACCTGTCTAAAAAGCTGGACCCTGTGGCGGCCGGCTGGCCCCCATGTCTTCGTATCATGGCAGCCACCGCTATGCTGGTCAAGGACTCTGCTAAGTTAACCCTTGGGCAGCCACTGACTGTTATTACCCCTCATGCTCTAGAGGCCATAGCGCGGCAGCCCCCGGACTGGTAGATAACCAACGCACGCCTAACCCACTACCAGGCCCTCCTACTGGACACGGACCGTGTCCAGTTTGGCCCTCCGGTCACCCTAAACCCTGCTACGCTGCTGCCGGTACCAGAAGACCAACCAAGCCCACACGATTGTCGGCAAGTACTGGCTGAGACCCATAGAACGCGGGAAGACCTTAAAGACCAAGAACTCCCAGACGCGGATCACACCTGGTACACAGACGGCAGCAGTTACCTTGACTCAGGTACCCGGAGGGCGGGAGCGGCGGTAGTAGATGACCACAACAGCATTTAGGCACAATCTCTACCTCCTGGCACGTCTGCACAGAAGGCTGAGTTAATAGCACTAACCAAGGCCCTAGAGCTGTCCAAGAGAAAGAAAGCTAACATTTATACTGATAGCCGGTATGCCTTTGCAACAGCTCATACTCATAAAAGTATCTATGAAAGAAGAGGTCTCCTAACCTCAGAAGGAAAGGAAATCAAGAACAAAGCTGAAATAATTGCCTTATTAAAAGCCCTTTTACTTCCTCAAGAAGTGGCTATAATTCACTGCCCCGGGCATCAAAAAGGACAGG